TTCGTATCTTTTGTTTCACTTATCAGTTACATTTGTCAATGTGTGCAATTTGGAATAGCTCGGCACGGATTCAAATCGTAATTTCTATGAACGTAACATATCTATAGTTCTTTAATATCATTGACTATAAGCCAATATAGGTCTCATTGGTGGTGGACATTTGGACCACTTTTGGTCATTATCCTTTAGATTAACTTATTTAGATATCAGACAAAGTGATTGTTATATTGTTATATTACTAAGTGCACTGCTACCTTTATAGTATGCATTATTGTCTGTAACAGTTTGTTGTCGATGACAGCCTCCCAGTGTCTATGCATGGAAAAAGATTGTGATACGTAATTAAACGTGCTTTTCAATTAATGTGGTGTATTAATTAATTACTACTACACAAATAAAATATAACAGTGATCCTAAAGAAAAAAAATATCTTTACTATATTATCTATGGATTTGAATGGGGATTCCCCTTGGATTCCCCTCAATTTGATAATCAAAAACTATCTGTAAAGGTTTTTAATTACATATTCCATTAAAACTTATTTCAGTACTTATGTATATTTGCTTTAGCTTTCCATGTAAATAGATTAAAATAATCAAACTTCAAAAATCAAAGGGACAATATTATTCGATCCTCTAAAAACTAATTGATCTTTTTTGTATGTGCACTTTTAAAAATAAATGATGTTTTTTATTATATTTTATCTTTATATTAATTATTGGGTCTATATTAGTTGATCTACGGATAAATTATGAATGATCTTCATTAAAGGTAACATAATATTCATGTTTAATATACTCTTTTAATATTCGGTAAACAAAAATAATATTTGATCCTCTTTTTTAGTTATTGATCTTTAATTTTGTTACTCTTTTAATATTTGGTAAACAAAAATAATATTTGATCCTCTTTTTTAGTTATTGATCTTTAATTTTGTTAATTTGATGATTTTTATATCAAGTTTGCCTTTTAATATTGATCACCTAATAAATACATTTCGATCTATGTATAACTTAACTTTAAAATATATTTGATCTAACAAAAAATATTATTGGTTAATATTTTTAATTAAAAAATATCTTTTAATTTACGCGGTACTTTGTGGTTGAGTGACAATCGTCCGTCATTGGTTACTGAGTTGGCCAAGGGCTTAGCGGCCAATAAGCAAGCAGAATGGTACATTGCCATGTTTGTTTAAATTACAAGCTTTGCTTAGTTTGGGACTAGAGGCGCTATGTAAAATAATTTCTTACTTCTGACATCCCTGAACCCGACATCATAATTTTTACCTCTTTATGTTTTTCAAATCGCAAGGTTGATTTTCTCTTAGTATACCGATCTCGACCGTGATCAGTGACCATAAAGTCATCTGTCAACGGGTCGATTAGACACGATAAAAGCACTAAACGATATTATTTTGTTTACTTTTAGTGCGACATCGGGTCGTAAGGACCTGATAAGTTTTTTTTTCCAAATATTTACTGTGTTTGACGAAACAATTGCAAAACAATATTTATATTTCGTACTACTGAAAAGACCGAATATATCATCCCGCACCAACGCATCCAGCACCTAAGGTCAATTTGACCCGATAACGCAGTGTGAACGTGTTAAGTATGCTTTTTTAATAATAAAAAAATCTTTAAACATCAAGTGCCTTTAAATAGTTTCCATCCTTTGACTACAACTTAATAAAAATAAGTACCATAACATAATTATTTTGAAGATTATTTGATATAGACAAAAAATAATTTATACAAATCGAATTATTTAAAAAAGTATCACAATATTGAATATTTGGTGCTCATTTCTTTTATTTTTGAGGACTAACAAGTAACGATCAGATATAATTTTTACATCTCAATTTTTTTTTGCGTAGTTCAAAAGAGGTTAAAATATCGATCGATTTCATTTATTTTATGTCTCAAAGAAAGAGGATCAATCATTAAAATAGATGACCATTTAGATTTTTTTATTTGCCGTTTTTGCTAATTTAAAAAGATCATTTAAATACATGCCAAAATCAAACTTCTTTACACGGCATCAAAAAATTATGAATGCCACCACTTATAGCTAAACAACAATGCATCTTATACAGTTATATTAAGGTGCGTTTTTGCAACAAAACTACAGTTTGATGTGCTTTTAAAGTACATTACCTTGGTAAATTCTTGGGCTTCACCAAAACAGGCTTGGTGCCGGCGACGGGCTTCAAACACCGGGGCTTGTCTAATTGAGTGTGTGCCCTTAGGGCTCTTGTAATGCGAGGTAGCTCAATCATTCTTATATGATTGGTACCAAGCTAGCTTCTAAATATAAAGCTGGAAAAGGAATGATTTAAGTTTCACACACTGCAAATCAGTCGAACGAGAGAATTAGGTAGGTACTTTTAGTACAATATGTTTACAAATAAAATGAAACAATGTTGTGATATATAAATGTAACAAGTCTTACTTACAATGTTATTGAACAAGCAACGTACCTACCACTCCTTTTTACCACAGGAAGTAGATTTACCTATTGTTAAAAAATATAAAACGTTTATACACTTAAAAGCCGTATGTTTTACATTTTTAATTAATTATTTCGGTATTACAGCGACACGTTGAACAGTGCAAAATTTTCGACTTTTTGACTTTGACACTTTTGACAGTTCTATCTAATCAGCTGGCCGCTGGCACTAATGACAGTTCGAAAGTTCTGATAGTGTTGTGCCGCATTTGTGTCACTCGATACCACTGAAATGCAATGAAATGAAATGAAATTACCTATGAAAATGTACCACAGTATTATGATTTTTTGTAGAAACGTTAAAATTACTTAAAAATTAGTTCTTAGTTTACTACTTCTATAAAACTTTATTAATAAATGAAGTATCGGTCTACGCGTGGACATCGAACCACATGCAGATGATGGAAGGGTTTAAGTTAAGTGGGACGACGAAACGTTACCACTTATCAATACCTGCTTTTACTCCCTTCTTCTACCGTTGTTACTGTATTCTTATCAGTGTGAATTATAATTAATTTTTTATGCAGTTCATTATTTATATTGTAATAAATCTCATCATCATCATCATTTTAATCATCATCATTTCAGCCACAAGACGTCCACTTCAGTTTCCGTTCTATGCCTGCTTCATCTTCTGCTGCTAATCCGTCGGGCTATGTCAGTGACTTTAGCATAGCCCTTTCTATCGAACGCTGTGCAACTTTGAGCTTCTTTGTGAGGCCTGTAGTGAGAGGCCACGTTTAAGAGCTGTATGTCATTAGTGGTAACACACACTACACATTAGGGTGGAGCACGGTTGTATGGGAAAAAAATTTTTTTTAGTTTCAAAGTTCTAATAGGGGGGGATTTGTGCCTTATATGAAAGTAAAAATAAGTGTCATTTTTTATCTCATTTAATGAATATCTTCTGCCTCCGCAGTGACTTCAAAATTTTAAAATTTTATTTAAAGTTAAAAGTCGTATAAGGTGAAATATTGCGCTCTATTTATTGGTAAGAAGGCATTAAATGACAGATATTTTATAGTTTAGACATTTACTTAGGTAATATAACATGAAAATATATATAAGAATTAGATAAATTACTTTAATTATTAAGCTTGAAAATCCTTTTTTAATCAAAATTTAGGCATCACGTTCCGCGATTCCAACTTGACTTTTTTGGCACCTTATAGTGACTTTTTGGATGCAGTGAGATATAGAATCTTTGATCGTAATCTTTACAGGTCTCTCAACAGCTTGAGTGAGGTAGAGAAGCCTTAAAAACAAAGGTTTGCTCTCACCACCAGATTTGACAATGTGCTGACTTTCTTAGTCAGATAAGTTTCTCAAAACAGGCGGTTTGGTTAAGTAAACTATATTTATATATAAAATAGCATTAAAACGTATCAATGGTACTTAAAAAAGTCTAGGTATTGAAGGGTGACTCCCACTGTGTGACTTTAGTATGCGACAAGCGGCCAGCTCTCTGACATCGTAAGAAGACTGCTTTCAGGATACGCGTAGTAGTTGTTTCTTTCGGTAACTAGTTCTATAATCTTTCATATAATTTCTGGCAGGCCTCTCGAGGCCATAATAATTTTAAACAGATGACGTGTGCCATCTTTGCATGATAGTTTAGTCTTAATTAAATACCAGGAAGGAGCATAGACTTTAACCACAAAAGTAGCCAGAGTTATCAAAATTTCTATTGGATCTTAAGTTCCTACAATACAAACGTAGTATTCGCTACGCCTCGTGTGATTTAACAGGCATGTTACAGTTCACCAGGAGAGATTATTGCGAGATTTTGTGAGAATAAGCCTAATTACCGCCGAAGCAATTTTATGCAAGTTCCGCTGATCAGTACTCAGATCATTGGCCATTTCCGATCACATTTGTCCTTCAATATGTTAAAATTTATTGATAGGCAGTTTCTCACATGTTTCCAGAGCTTTTCCAGTAGACTAACTGACAAAGACGCGAGTCGCGAAAAGGGCCAGAAAAAGTCTCTTCTCGCGCTCCCTCACTGCCCTTATTAAAATTATAAACCCAAAGCCTGGCTTTTTTGTGTATTTTACATTGAAAATATAGCATAGCAGTAAACGATTTGTGATAAAAAAATAGTATTTTTATTTAAATATCGCACAGATATGTGGCGCCAAAGTGAGGTCTAAAACCAACTTTTTTTATAAATTCAGTGTCGATGCGGAGGCAGTTACTCTAAACCGAATTGATTAATATTTTGCATGACTTAATTTAAGCCCTAAAGGCACAAAATTTTGACTATTACATTACAGTTATATGAAAAAAAAATTTTCGCTCCACCCTACTACACATAAATCTCATACTAATAATTCATTGGTATACCAATTTAAGAATTTTAGTTCAAAGTCTTATTCTGGTAATGAAAATAAAACAAACGGCTATTTATTAAGTTGCTTTATTGTTAGTGAAGCAATAATTACATTTTGGTACATATAATTATGCTGTTATATTTTATGCCTACAGGCAGGTGAAACCTACCACATTAATTCATTATGCGATTATATTGTTACTGATTCAAATCTATCAACCATAGTTATACCACAATAACCATTTGAAATAGATTACACTTTTACTCGTAAGATATACATTTGGATATGAATTTTACAAAATCAAACATCACCTATTCGTAACGGTAACGATAAAATTTATTGTTTAACATTTATAGACAATTTTTTACTAACTTTGCACACATTAATCGAACAATAGCATTAAACTAGATGATTAGAATATTATAATATCAAAGTACGATCATGCTCGTTAGATGTTTCTAAACAAAGTCTTATCATAGGATGTCCGACGTCATTTGTATTGTATATTCACATTCGTGCACATACGACATTGTAAGTATCTTTTTGTTACGGTGTTTTAGAGAAGTTGAATCGCATTTTATGCCGATTGTGAATATTCCACCACGAGAGTATAATGACATCGGTAGATAAGATTTTTAACACTATGAGCTCAATATAATGTTAAAAATAATATCTAGGTCGACTTTGATTTTTTCTGTTGAGATGAAATATTACTTCATTACGACACGTACGTATGTAATCATTACAATACCTATTAAATAAATTCAATTTCGATTTGTATAAGCACTTAAATCAATTTATGTATTGTAATCAACAATTAATTTGACTTGAACTAAAATATAGTGCTATTCTATTTTAGGTGACTAATTTCTAATCATATATTCATTCAGCATTTTAGACGTTGTATTTTATTAAATTCTCTTGAATATGTAAGTATCCTAAACTGTCCTATAATGTTTTCTCTTCTAATTTTAACTAATTTTTAGACTTTAAATTGAATGAATTTATGATTACATAATTTTGTTCGGTTATTTACTACGATTACCAAAACATGTTTGTATTTTAATTTGTAATATTTTTGGCGCCAATGGGTACCACTGATGTAATAGCATCGTAATAACTACCTGACTTATCACTACATCTGTTGTAAAGATAAACAATGTTTTTATTACCAATGGCAATAGTTGTATATCTGCAACTTATTTATCTTTACAACAGTTTTCTTAAAAGTACTGTTATTTTAAGATTGTGGTGTGTTTTCATTTTACCTTACAGTGAATGTTGTTTAGTCCCCATTTTATGAAAGACAAAATATGAAAATTTTAAAAATAAATCCGATTTTAAGTCTAGTGACAAAGTCACTTTATAGTATGACACAGTACAGCACTAACTTTATTAGGCGGGAATCATAAAAAACTTTCTGCGTGTATGGATGTAGGATTTTTTTATCGGTGTAATTTATAAGTTGTTTCGAAATAAAGCTGCTGTAATAGCAGCATAAAATATTTGGTATGTGTTAATTACGTAGGTAACTCTCACACAAGATGATTATCGTAAGTGGATTTTCGTTAAACTTACTTAAATTTTGCCTTTCAGAAAATGGGGCTAATTTACTTATCTTATTATAATCATACTAACTCGCATATATTAATAAACAAGTCGTAATGTGGCTATGTAGGTTTCTCTACATAATTGTTTTGAATTGGTTTTCATTAAGATGTAGGTAAAATTTATGATCTTGTTATTTTTAAGTATTTTCTGTAGTACCTATGTCTATTTAGATAGGATGTATCAGGTAATGTTTATAAACCTCTTTATCATAGTAATATTACCAATTCAACATTTTACGTTTGTTTATTTATTTATATCTGCGAGAAAGAGACAAATACAATGAAAAGATTACGTTTATGAACAAATAATATAATATTTAAATGCAGTATTTGCCAATAATCCTGAATGTGTAATTTATTTATGACTTTGTAACACCTAAGTAATACAATTAATGAGAACACCTAATCGCTAATTATTTTACAATTTCTAACTACAAAGCAGTTTTTACATATAATAACACATAAAACGGTTTTAATGTATTATAGTCACACTAGTAATACATAAAACAGTCAGCCAGTTAAATTAAATCTTAAGACAGCGTAAAATTCTATATAATAATATTTTTTTCTAATTATTAATAATTATTTTTTATTCATTACAAACAACAACTCGATTAAGTACAAATTTCGTTTCAAATAGAAATCACGGTTATAATAAACAGCTAAGTGATTATAAGTTAAAATGAAATACGCCTATCAATGTAATTTTATGATATTTTACATCGGTGATAAGTTTAAGTTACATCAATTCAGTTGAATTACAAAGCGAATTGAATGTTTTGTTATAAATCTCGGAAGACTGACTATGTGATAAAATATTTTTGTAGTAATATTTGCCATTGTCGAAATCGATGAAGTAATATAACCTATTTAAATACTATTTCGCTCTAGTGTAGTGAGAGTAGGTATTTTGGCTTTAATAAGTATGTCATGGAAACATACACTTTATTTACTTTCAATGTAATGGACCAAATGAATCGATTGGCTCTAAACCTATTTATATCTATTCCGTATCAACATATTCAACACCTAATAAACTTGATTCACAAATGTTAAGCATAGACAAACATACTTAAGTAGGTATAGCGAGTAGATAGGTACATCAAAGATCAACGACCAGAAAGGAAGTTAGGCATAAAATATATTTAAGAAAGTAAAATACAAGTTGTTTCAGAAACTTGGTCCAAATTGAACTTAACTTTGTTTGTTATTACAACGATATTAAAATCGGAAATTCAACTTCGAAGTTAGATATGGTTTTGAATAAGCCTTTTGGTAGCAGTTTTGCTTTATCGTATTAATTTGAAGAAAGATTATCTAAAAATATTCTATTTCATCTTTTCCGAGGAGTATATTTTGTAAGTGTTATAAAAGAACGGCGTGATTTAAAATTACATTACTTTAGGATTCAGATTATGTGAGATAGTCTGGAGGCGTAAGTGTTACATAGTCGTAGGTATATTTTTAACAACACTAAAATCTACTAACTTCAATGTTCTGTACGGTGAATATTCTGTGGTACTTAGGCTGGTGTCCTGTTCAAGAAAGGAACCTGAAATTAGAATTTAATATTAAAATTACACATTATACTTATTACACAATCGCAAAAAAACATCTTAACTCAAATATAATCAAAGTAACCCCTTTGGATCAAGCTAAAAAATAATTAGAGGTAATTTGTATGTATTTTCTAGTAGCCAAATATTTTACATTACCTCTCCTGGAATCCTTTGATGTGGGTGTTTACAGACCTAGAAAATACAAAAAAATATTATAACGTGCTTCAGAATCATTTGCAGAAATTAATAACAAAGAAATGTGCTTTGCAGTTTCACTGGACAACACAATATTGATATATGAAAAATATAATAATATTCAACAAATATTCGCTATGTTTAATATTTTTAAAATAATAATATTAGGTTCATAATTTATACATGCAAATAATACTTAAACACAACTTAAGAATTAATTTAAAAGACCATGTTAAGTGTGAGATTGGATAAGTATATTATGTTTTGGTTTTTAATTTTAGTTTAATAGTTTTTTGAACGCAAATTAGATTCGTTTCATGAATCAGTAGACTTTGTGTAGTTATTGAAATATTTGGGGCTGCTTTAATAGTTAAGTATATTAAAATATAATATTATGTAGGTAGGTAAGTACGTAAATTATTTCAATATTTTTATATCTTTAATAATAGATTTTTAAGACAAGTTGGTTCTATGACAGTCATAATATAATAAATAATAATTATTAAATAAATAGTTTATTTGTATTAAGTAGTTCAGTTACGTACTTCGAAAGCATTAAAGCATTTTATTAGCTAGATTATTATTGTCAAAAGCTGTTATATTTTATAGTAAAGCAGTCATTTATGCGGTACAGTTAAACATTTATTTTAATTTTGTTTATATTGTTTTTTTATTTAATCGAAACTTAATTTAAAGCAACCAATTCGGGGTTAAACTTGAGACAAGCAACGCATTCTTGGATAAAGTAAAACATTAAATTAATTAAAACAGTATAAAGCGTTAATCTAGTTAGATATAGAACTAGAGTTGTCTCGTTGTTTTTTAACAGATTTTAGAGCATCCCAGACAATATATGACACATTTATAAAAGCTAACTTCTTCCATAAGTGCAAAATTCATATTAGAGACTTGGGTTTTCTGTCGACAATTTGATCTTTGACTTTTCATTCTGGCATTGTAATTTTGAATTTAGTAGCCTTCCTAGTTAATCATTGTACCTACATACGGATTTATTATTTCCGTATAGTAGTTTTAAATCTAAAGAAATGTCAAAGAAGGACAGTAACCACTAAAAATTGTAATGGTGTTACAATGTAAAAGTCACTAAATATGATTGGCAACTTATGGTAGATTGTACAGAAGACTTGAATAACTGCATGAAACATTATTCGATAGTGACAGATATAGTGACAATAGACAGAGAAAGCCAACATTTATTATTAACAACCACAAAAACCATTGCCCACTTACCAAAATAGGCTTAGAACCAACGAAATAAAAAATAACAATATACGTTATTCTATTCGTTAACATTATAACAAGTTCTAAATTAAACTGCGGTTACCGAAAGTTCACACAAAGTTGGCTGAAAATGTGGAAAAAATAATGGTGTGTTAGTCTAAACGTAAAGAAATTAAAAACTGAAATGCAATCTAATTTCCGACCAACACAAACAACATTTTGGGTAACATAAAAAAAGAAGTGGGTATTTGACATAGTATAGGTGATACTATAAATAAATCAGATTTGTCTGTTTGGTGGTACATATGTGGACGTTAATTAAATTGAAGGGAATTGCATTTTAGAGGAATCTTAATGTGTCTGCCTACCTCTCCTAGTAGTATATTTATATTTTTAACGTCTTTTGGTCCTTCTAGAGTTTGAATATATGATGCGATCATCCAAGAGATTTAACATTAGATATTTTATGTAGGTAGGTGCAAGTAATAACCCAAAATCTTGTTTGTTAGTTGACTGGAGCATCTAATACACGGAAACGATGACTGTCAAATGTCAAACTTACCGATGATGAGGGCTAAAATGATGATACCAATGACGGCAGCGATTATCATCATCTGGAAGAAAGCGGATTGACATTTTAGAATACATTTTGTTAATACTCGTAATATGATGATTTAATTTGTACGTAAGATTTGTTTCTTGACACAATTTAGATCTTTACATGTGAATTTTTAAATTGTAGGTATGTAGAGTTGGAGGAAGTTTGTTATTCATAAAACTTCTAAAATTATGTAAAGATAATAAATGTTCTTTTATTCCTTATTATCCAATTTATTTGGCATTAAAGTATAAAATAAATTAATAAATACCTTTAAATTCTGCAACCAAAATTTGCTCTTCAGTTTTCCAGCCTGCTGTTCAAATTGCGAGGCACCCTGCTGCAGAGCGTCTGAAAAGATATCACCAATGGTTTTACTTACGATTTACAGTACCCAACACAAAACAGTAGTTTTTTCAAGGCAATACAGAGGAATAATTTTTATAAAATTAAATGTTTTTACCTGCTCTATCATCAAGTTCCGAGAGCTTTTGATCTCGCTCAAGCACCTTTTCTACGTTCGTTTTCATGATGTCCACCACCTGAAACAAACAGCGAAACAATATAGCATTTGTTACCTTAAATGTGTAGAACACAATTTTGCTAATAATTTTAGAGAAAAACGACCCTTTATTTAGTGAGGAAGTATCAAACTTAGAATGGTGTTTCAGAAGTGAATTGTGATAATTTGCACCAAAAAGACTTCAAGCCAACAATAGTAAACGCTTGAGTAAAATCACAAAAGTTTTAATTATTCGGAATCAATGGATTTCCGAATCATAGAGCTTCAACAAGTTACTCACACCAGTACAACGAGTGAGAAGAGAAGTCATAGAATAAAATGAGCCTGAATCCTATCCAAGTAAGTGGATAGATGCATATTTCACACTTTGTGACGTAAGAGTGCATCATTATCCCCATTGCAGCGTTGATTTGATGCAAAGTAAAGAGAAAACTCAAGTAAGTAAAATAGAGTTAGCAGAAAAACAAGCTATATTTATGAAAACGGACGGAGGCTTCAATAGGAAATTCCCAGGGTGACGTCAACCGTGATGGCGGATGGGCGGTATCACCCAATCTTCCAGTGGTTCTCAATTATTATACCAGCTAAATAAAATTACGACAAGCTCTTATAAAGCGAAAGGCTTTGAGCAAGAATATTGAATCGTGTCCTGTAACTAGAGATGCACCCGTAATTTGTTTCACAATCGATCCGCAAGTTCAGCAGCTTTTACCGAATTTCATAACCGTCTGAATTTCGGTAAGATCTGCCGAACTTCAGCATTCGCAAGGACGGTGTTCTATCGTAATCAACTTAAGTCATCAACAGTTTGTAACCGTCTTGTCATTTTCCTTCTATTTTCCTTGAATATACGAGATCACTACGACGAAACCACTAGGACTTTGTGTTAAATACACCAAATTGTATTGGTGTAATGTTAGTCTAAAGTACGGCCAACTAGCAGCGATTCAAAAGATCGATTCGACTGACAATCTATTCTGTCTCTTCCCATCTTGTGTATTTGTCGTAATGTCTCGTTCACCCGCCAAAATTATGTCAAAGTCAAACCCCTGCTATTCCAAATGACCGTGACATTGGGTTTATTTAGATTTGATATCGCTTCTCGTTGGCCGTACTTTAGGGCCACAATGTCTGGCGCTACAAGGCTTAACCCCATTTAGATAGAAAGGGCTGATAATATTTGAGAATCTTTGCCCTACGCTCGCTCTATTGGGATTGGCAATGGATTGAACGGGAAGCATTTGCGTCACAGATATCAACAAGTACCTATGCTCAGGCACGTTTTACTTACTTTGAGAAGGCTCTTATTGAGATAACAGCGTATCTGAATCGGAGTGCTTTTAAAACCCGTATGTTTATTTAAAAATAAGGGAAATATATCTAGTCTCGAAAAGCAATAAACTCGTAAACCATTTGAAGTGGGAAGGGGCTAATAAAAATGAGGATTTTAGGGAGTTTTTCTAAAAATGTATTTGAGAGCTTATTCGTAGCCTCCAAGTAGGTGCTTGAGGTAGCAAAATGTCAAATGAAATTGCAATTTCCTTCTAGCTCTTACTGTACATATTTGATGAACGTAAGATTAGCTTAGCTTCGCAAGAAATGCTTTTTGGAAGTAAAAGATATACCTTAGCAACAGATTGCAACTTCGTTAAAAAGTCGAATAAAAATAATAAAGCAGAATACTCGTAGTTAAAAGAAAAATAACGATTACCTATACATTGAAATCTGGGAGGTTTTAATTAAATTATTCCCAGAAAAGTAATTTAGTAGGATAAATAATTATAAATTATTCAGTTTTTCGGCGAAAGCTCACAATTAAATGAAAAATTCAAAATGTTACAGTCTTTAAAAAAATCATTTTTGCAAACGCTGACTGATTTATAACAATATTTTACTCGTATCAACTGGCCATAAAGAAAAAATACACTACAATGGAGAAAAAACAAGAACGAAAAGTCCTTATTTGAATTCAAAACACACATACAAAAACAATTCTTTATTCGAAATTCAAATATTTAAAATAGAACTGACCTCGTCGACTTGAGCCTGTGTCTGCTGCAGACGACGCTGGGCGGCGATCTGCTGGGGCGTCTTCGGCCCGCCCACGGGCATGTCGCCGTCGCCGCCTGGCGCCAGACCGCCTTCCGTCGCCCTGGTAATACGATATTAGGGATCAGTTGGTGGAATATACGGTTCTGTATTACCTAATTAGTTTAACTTTCCCCCGGGACAAACTTGACCTTCACTGGTTGGGTTTTTGTTGGCGGTCAAGCTGTAGATCCTGGCTACACAGGAGTTGCAACGGTGTGAACGAGAGGTGGAAATAATCCCGTTCTGCATTACCTAAGTTAAAGCCAGCCTGCGTGGAATTGGAATGTTCAATGTCCACAGAACTATTAAGACGTACCTACGTAACGCGTCATCCATAAAACAATTGACGCGTAACACGTGATCCAAAAAATATTCGGTGTTGTTCACAATGGACAAAGAGACGATGCATGTCTATTGTTTGAGAATACATTGCTTTATAAATAAACACCCAGCACATCAGCACCGATTGTATAAGATAATTTTGGAATGAAGACTGGGAAGAAAGCATGTGTTTCAGCAATTTTTGAAAAATCTTATATTTGAAAAACTCTATTTCAAACTGCCAAGTTTTCAAAAGTCACCAGTATCATATTTCAAACTACCGGGATATAAGCTACGAATCAATACACGCTTCCCAATCTCATATGTCGCGAAACGTGATTCCATATCGAGGCCACTATATTTCATCCGAGGACGCCGAACAAAACGCCAACGGTTCACACTAAATTAATCCTGCTTGATTAGAAACTCAATTATAGGGGTGAATTTGCTGAAAATTAAGCTAGTGACGTTGCTATTATTGTGTTGGCAGTATTGTAGAGTCAACTTGGTTCTCATTGTTCTTGTAGTTAAAAGCTTAAATATACCTCCTACTGAAACATAATAAAGTTATGCATTATGCCAAGTAAACTCAAAAAAATATCAATTGAGAGCCATTTGATGGATTGATTATGTTATGGATAGGTGGCTTATGTTTATACACAGATATTCAATCGACAAAGGTATTACCTCAAACGACTATACTAAATAAACAACAGAAAGTTTTTCCATCTGTTTTCACACATTAAAGAAAAATTCCGTTAAATAGAATTCATAAAATAAAAATTCATAAAATTAAAATTCATAAAATTCATTTATTTTTGCAAATAGGCTTTAAAAAAGCGCTTTTACACGTCCCAATATTAACCCTACCACTGCTTCGGGACAATAAATGGGCCAGTGCTGAGAAGAGAGAATTATTAATTATTCGTTCCTTTTCCCAGCAACACACGAAAATTGTGATCTTAATATAAATCTCACGGAGATTTCGCTCAAACTTTCATCATACGGATTTGCGATGTTAGAACATCCTGTGTAAAGTTTGACGAATTTAATAAAGCAAGTCTTATGAGGTATCATGAAACATTGTTGTATTATTTAGGTGTATTATAACCTAACGTTTGAGTAGAGTCCTGATTGTAATTTCTCCGTCAATTTCCAAACCCCCTAAACATTATGGGATATAAAAAATACTTAGCGAAATTAAAAATGACATTTACTTTTAATCTTGCTACAGTCAGTTAAAATATTTGTTTCATAACGTTATATTGTCATGGGGAAGTATTCAACAATAATCATCGAAATAAAAATAAAACTAAGGTTATAAGGTTCAAATTCAAATGATTTTTAATAATTTGTGACTGGTTGAAGTGCTGACGATTGTACCTTTACATAAAAGATTATTTCTAGTATATTTAGATGAAAGTAAAGATATGATTCACGAATAACAAAGTTACACTCAGTTGACGCACGAATGCGACGTCATTTGAGCCCAGTAAATAATAGGCGTGTGTCAGCTGCCTAGTTACATTAATCACTGGCTAGTGTTAGTAATGACATGCAAAAGCATTATCTAATTAAAGGTCACGCTAACAAAATGATAGCCTCTATCTAGTATAGTTCATTGTGATTTACATGTAATTGATTCCACCACGTTGGGCGCCATTGGCACCCAACTTGTTGTTGTATAGATTCCATTTGTTTTTATTGCAAGCTGAATTGCTCCATCTTACATTAACTTTAACAAACGTCAAAAATATGTCAAATTCCATACAAAAAGCGGTTATTGTTATAGTTACGAAAAGTAAATTGGTGCAACTCAGCCTAAGTCAGCAAAATGTAAAGCTCAAATAATGATGATTCGAGCATTATAATATCATGGCACACTTTTGTTTCTTCTACAAAATTAAATACTTGATATTTATTTATTCCATTTCCAATTTGGGATGGGCTGACTAACAATCACTCGTTCGTAACCTTTGACATTCGTGTCATCCAAGCAAAAGCAGCTGACGTAATATTTTGTTGCTTCTATTAAAAGCCAAGTAAACAGTCACACCCACGCCAACTAATTACAAAGCGTTCTCGTTTCAGCCAAGCTTAATATTATTTTGCATAAATAATATGTTATACTTATTATGAATGGAACGTTTTGAATTTGCTCGCTATTTGTCTGAACTTTGTGAAAGCAAATACACGGTTTCATAACCTAATTCGTATTATGATATTGCGTGTTTATGTAAAAGGTTTTTGCAAATCGATTCTCTCAGAATCACAGTATTATCGTGAATAAAGCTGGGGATCAAGTGAAATCGAATTTCACGAGAAAAGGTCTCGTTCGTAAAAGTATCAAAGAAGACTTTGACCCTGTAGACTTGTCATGACATAGATTAAAAGTGTGATACGTATTCTTAGGCTAAATGAGTATGTTTTTTTTCAAACCCCATCTTTTAAGTGCGACTTGCAAACTTGTACCATCTCAGTATTGTTAATAGGTAAAGTTTGTACTGTTACAATCAGTCGATCAGGTAGGTATATCTTACATACACTATTTTATAAAGAGGGACGATTTGATTGTTTGTATTGAATAGACTCCGAAATTACTGCACCGATTTAAAAAATTCTTGATGAATATAGAATGGAATAGAATACAACAGTTATTTTATATTTTATATTTAGAATGTAAAGTTTTTTATTGGCGGTACGAAGTTCGCCGGGTCTAACTAGATTTTATAATCAAAGGTCCTAACAGCATTCAAATCGGATTTAATATGAGAAATTGCCTTCTCATTCTAAACTATAACATACACAACCATTTACTATACGGTCGCGTGGTGGTACGACCCGTAGGTTACTACAGTTATTGAGGTGATGCCTATCCCATGTGGTAGGGCGTAACTTCAGTCCATTAATTATCCAAGTCTAGACTGTTTTACAAAAATAACACGTGAAATAGTTTCTTGGAAACTGGTAGGTATTAAGGTTTTAGTTCGAGTAATATAGAACCTATAATAGGTACTACTTAGAGAAAGAGAATGTATAGGAAAATATTACAACGTTTTATCAGAATGAAGACTTGAGGGTAGGACGGGATGAAAATCCACTTATACGGCGGATATTGGAAAAATAAGAGTTCACGCTACGAGAAATGTAGAGATTTCAGAGGTTATTATATTTTTATTAGAAACTATCTACTGCCCGCAGCTGTGCCCGAATTATTTAAGTTTCAATGGTTTTCAGGGTCTTTTCATATGAATGTGAAGTCCAAGCTGTTCTCAAGTTTTGGGCTTTGCGCTGAGCAACCCCATTCAGTGATTCATTTTATTTATAAGATGATTACCTAGTAATCAAAACAAACAAGTTTCAGTCCAATATTTTTTTATTTGACTATAATTTATTGACGACCCTACGTGATTTTTATTACAATTTTCAGTGGGATTGATGATTGATTTGTGTTTGAATTTAATTAGTAAGAAAGAATACGCGAAAACCATATTTTATGCAAAAACGCATACCTTTCTACCAATTTGTAACACCTAAACATTTTTCATCCCAACTAATATTATAAATGCGAAAGTAACTCTGTCTGTCTGTTACGCTTTCCCGCTTAAACCTCGCAACCGATTTTGATGAAATTTGGCATAGAGATAGTTTGAGTCCCGGGAAAGAACATAGGATAGTTTTTATCCCGGTTTTTGAAACAGGGACGCGCGCGATAAAGTTTTTCTGTGACAGACAAAATTCCACGCGGGCGAAGCCGCGGGCGGAAAGCTAGTATTTATTTATTTATTTATTTATTTATTAGGTCTACCAACATTGTTACATTACAACATGTACACTTAAAAATTACAATTATGAACAAAGTTACAATGCAACAACAATTATAGGCCGACACAACATGCAATATAGATTCAATGCAGTTTGTTCCGAACCGTTCCATGCACACAAAAAAAACACTTAATCGTATCAATAGATAATAGTAGAATTTTGATTTAGACATGACTTATCTTATAAGTAGGTACCTACTTACTTACTACAAATGCAAAATAAGTTTCATTTACTAAAAAAAAAAAAGAAACAAAAAACGGTTACCATAGCTCAATCTGACACAAACAGTTGAGACGCCACAAAGGAGTATAGTTTCCTTTTATACTGTGTTTGGGAGTAGTGCAGGAGATCACTTTCAGTGGCACCAGTGGCCCCGTAGAACCTGTTATATTCAACGCAGAGTCTATTAACAGTATAAAAATAAACCTTAAAAATGCAAATCTAAATCCCAAACATTACCTTTCTGAGTTCGACGTCAATGTTTTTCCGTGAAATAACAACAGACGACAGCAAGGGTTATGGAAACAGAAATGTTTATTTCCCATTTTTTTTGCATGTTTGGTACATGTGAAAACGCCAGTGTTATGAAAACTTTTTTTTTAGCTTAAACAGCAAATAAATGCAGCTAAGTAGGGATTCCCTTCATTGTTTTTTTGGTCTAAAAAGTATTTTTTTTTGTATGTTGAAAACAGGTTTCATTTTTAACGGAACTATTTGTTGCCAGTTTGATAGATGGTAATTTTTAAAAAATATTAAATAAGTTATTATTATAATTTCAATAAGAAGAAACAAACGCGGTTTTGTGGGAAGAGCCTGGATGCGGGCAGCGCAGGACCGTGCATTGTGGAAAACCTTGGAGGAGGCCTTTGTCCAGCAGTGGACGTCATTTGGCTGAAACGAACGAACGAAGAAGAAACAAAATGTTTTGTTGTTGAAATCAGCAGTAGTTAGTCGCTATTGTTATCATCGTGCAACAAAAGGCGGCCACACGCTATTGACTTCTTAGTCAACACCATTGTTCGAAGAGTTCAGAGTAAATTGTAATTCATTAAATTGTTCTCTTAGTGAACTTGTGCGAAATAAACTTTTCCGTTTGTCAGCGTCTTTAATTTATTTACATCAGGCTTTAATTGAACGCTGTCTAACAAAGTGATAATGAATTTTGGTAAACAAGGTTTGTTACTTGAATGCCCTTTAGGAGAGCAGCGTAGATAATTAATCTAATAGTTTTTAATCTGCCTAAGTCCTTTTGTCAAATGATGATACCTAGGTACCTACTACGGAATAACATTATTTTCAATGAGGGTTTTCGCGATTAAAAAATCTGCCAGATTGGTTATTTTTGACATGACATTGACAGTTATGTCAAAATCCACCAATCACGCAGCATTAATTGGACCTCTCGTCTACGTATTGCCATCTGGCGGATTTTTCAATCGTGAAAACCCTCATTGATGTTATTACTATTCGATCAAAATTAATACTTAATGTATGTATCTAATATTTATCGGTCAATTTGTTTAGTTGGTTGTGTAACTTTATATAAACTCATTTTCCTTTACGAATCTGGAAAAATCTCGATAATCTATCGCTATTTCATCGAATAGATAAAATCTAAATGTACCTACCCATATGAGCAGCAGTGAATAGGGGGCTCGTGATTGTAATTTTAATGAGAAAGTGCCACTTTTCAGGCGCCATAGAGACCTACCTAATGAACAATAGAAATCTGTTGTTGTCAAGACACTTTTCCCTATATTTCATTTGGGTCCATTTCTATAACCTAAAACATTAATTTAGAGGCAGAGGTTTTTTGATCTGTTTCAAATTTTGAAAAGAAAATCAAAGAAGTTCAAAGATAAACTTTAGACTGCAGTAGGCGCTAAGTATTTTGTTTTATTTTGTTTCATTTCATATCTGTTAAGATTTAAGGTGTTAACCTTTCAACTCACAATAGAAAACTGATATTTACTATTTTGCTAACAAAAACATTGTAATAAGAACGAAAATCTGTCTAATGTTATTTACCGCCATTGTATCGCCTTTAAGCGGGTTTTAATTTGTTTGCATTACGTGATAGAGTCCAAATTACTCTAATTTAGTCGTGACTCTACCCTGAATTTGCCTCGGCACCTCTACTTTGGAAAATTATTTCAACGCGTAGACGAAGTTGCGCGCTTGCTATTACTACTCTTTCTTTGCATACTTATAATTCATCATTTCAGTAAGTACAGCATCAGCATTTGAAAAGGACATTTTTTTCAGCATTTGTATTGTTTTCATGTATGCATTCGCAAACGATGTTATTATAACTTCCATTTAGTTCTACTGAAGTAGAAAAACCAGCTTTACCAAAAGTAATTTGGAGTAATATGCTTTATTAGGCTGAATCTCATTTCATCAGTCTAAAAGAATATTTACAGGTGAAGTAAGTCTCAAAAACCTTTTTCTATGGTTATGGAGTTCCGCTGAAGGCAATGTTACTAGGTAACTCCCACGCGCTTTTGTTTCCAGCGGTTATTTGCCAAATCGTGTGTAAAAAGCCGGGAAACGTTTAAAAATATTCATTCTTTTTAATAAAAGGCTTTACGTAATTTTCAGAAAAAGGAACGTGGAATAAAATATTTAATTACTTCGAAGAATACTGTATCAAACGCATAATAAAATTAAGTTCATAATATCGATGTAACTAATTCAAATTATGTTGTAATAACTTGAAGTCTCTCCTGTAATGTTCATTGAACATTTTATATGAGCATCTTTATGATCATTTTCCTTTCTTGAAAAGACAAATTACACTTGATTAAGTATAATTATAGATCATTTCTCGCGAATCCAATTATTTGAATCTATTTTTATGTAGGTACAGTCGACAATACATTATACTAACCATTTTCGTTGCTAAACAGCATCGTTGCTTCACAAAATTGTTTTCATATTCAAAATTCATATTTGTTTAAATTCTAAATTTTAAATTCGTTTGCCTCCTGTCACATAAAAAAGATATTTTTAGCTTCATGAGCTTTCGTCTCTACATAGAAACACGAAAAATGCTTTGCTTTGTTTTCATTCCAGCCATATGACGTCTAGCCATCAATGGTTCATGACCTTCATCCCTTTGTTACCCTGGCTGACAATGCGTCGGGTCACGTGGCCAAAGCTCGGTTTCTTGACTCACTACTTGACAACTTTTATGCTGGAATGATGTTGCTATAAGTATTCTGGCATCAAATGGCTTTTATAGATCGAATCGCAATTTGTATTAGGTATAATATGTCTCTAAATTCGCACAAGATACATTTTGCACTGTTGTGCATGTCCTACTTATGCTGGTTTTATTGAATCGAAATCTATAATTTCTCTACAGACAAAGACTCGTCAAAGACATAAAAAGAGCTTAGGTACCTAAATATGCTGCAATGAGAGCAGCCTTAATAAGTCTAGTTCTTAAAATTCACAAAAAAGTCTTAAGTCCAACCCTTACACACATTAGTGATATAAGATTGTATATTTTTTGGATTTTTTGAAGGAAGCTCTTGGCCTGTATGTATCACACCGGATTCTTAAAAAAACCCTTCTTTTAATTATGGTTTACGTTGCCAGTACAAGAAAGAATTTTCACTAACTTTTTCTAACAAAAGTCATTGTGACATGCGTAGAAAGGCAAAAATTGTCCACCCTTTTGACGTTCAGCCATCAATGGTTCATGACCTTCATCCCTTTGTCACCGCGAGCTGACAATGAGTCACGTGACCGAAGGCTCGACTTTTTGAGACTTGACTCACGTCACGGCGAAGATGACGTCATGATATTAATATTCCAGTGACAATTAGATAAAAACGTTCACAAAATCAATAGAATGTATATTGGGAATAACAAGCATAATATTTTTATCTATACAATTACCTTATTATAACGATTATTCTAAAATTAAAGTAAGTTATCTAACGATAGTGCTCTATAATATTAAATTAAAGGAAAAGTCACAGAAAAATAATGTAACCGTAACATATTATGCAAATAGACATAATTTTATCCTCCATGATAAATATAAACTGATATGATACCTAATAGACATAATGACATTGGAAAACTAAAATACTAAAGTGAATTCAAATCATTCATTATAATGGCCAGCGAGCTTAACTGATCTTTGTCTATTCAACAGTCTAATGTAATCAAAATACCAATCTCTAGGTAGAGGAATGTATACTAAATTGTTTAATTGTATTAATTCTCTCCAACTTTTTGACTATACATCATAGAAAACTGCTGTATAAATCAATATATTTCAAGCCAAGGGCCTCTACTCAACGTCAAAGACGGGTAGCCCGAAAATATTAACAGTATCGTCGACGAACGATGAGAGATTAAGATCGCCATGCAGCTGTTCTGGTTTACAACCCACAAATAAATCAAGTCTAAACGAAAAAGAAACATAAATGTCTTTGCACTTTTTCTTAATTAGAAAACAGAAAAATGAAAACTTACATTTTGTCCTTTCGCTCCGGTTAGTCCGCGAGGTGGAAACTCGTTTCGGTCACCCGAAGTATTGATTCGCCACACTAGTCCAGAACGCAGCGATGCTACACAACTTTAGAACGGAGTACCTTCACTGTCCGACACCAAATGAATGTATTTTATGAATGGAAACCTCCAACTAGGTTTCCCTACAAGTATATCGGGTAATGTTCTATTTTTAGGCGACGATTGCTGTTGATAATGCCTTGTAGAATCCACAAAACTGATAGGAACACACGCGTCAACCGTCGAACTAGATTTTTCGAAAAGAGAAGCGTAGAGAACAGCTCAAAACGACGTTTTTCGGAAAATAAATCGACGAGAAAACCTTCCGCGAGCAGGTTTCCCGATTTGTATGGGAGAGGGCGCGCTTGTGCACTCCATAATAGGCACGTATTGTCTAAAAATATCAGACTGAAATTTCTCAAACAATTTCGAGCTTTACCATCTGCGTTATAAGGTCGAAAGTGCGTTCAAGGAAAAACTCGGAGGGTATAAATGTGTGACTTAATTTTATGAGGGTGTGTGCGTAGAAATGTTCACGCATGCGCCATGAACTCTTCGGTCTCCAACAAAAATCAATCCGCTTCGGTATGTGGGTGTTACGTAATGAGAGGACATGGTTTTAGTTTTACTTAATTGGGATAAGCAACAAATGAATGTCGTAGAACACCTGATTGATTAACTTTATATCTTCAGTAAACAGCGTCCTGCCAGAGGGCATAAAATTATGTTTAGCTCTACTTATCATTATCATTAAGTTGTTAGCGTCGTGTCTTATCGCTGTTGTTATAAGGTTGAAATTTAATAACCCACAAAGACGGATGTTTGACTTTAGGGTCTTTAACGAATTAAGTATGCTTTTTTGGACTTATCTTCATTTCACAACTTTAGGCGTTGCCTGTTTAGATAGGCGCTTGCGGTATGAATCAACTGCGCCCATTGATAAAGCTATCTGTCTGTAGTTTATGGCTCAACTCCAAACTAGCATTGAAATTACGAACAGCAACAAAAATCAAATAACCGTTTAACCATTCATACAAAGAAAAGACGTTTTCAAGAACACGTGTAGAGTATGAAGATTCAGGTCTCCTGAATTACGTACAGGTAAGTCGGGATTTCGTCAAAGGCTGTCTCAATCGTAAAACAATATATACCATAGCTCTATACATAACTATTTTTGAGTTAAAAGAGTGGAAAAATAGAGTAAGGTAAATGGTGGGCCATCTTACTTTATATTTTAACTTCACTGATTGATTAATTATTGTAATTATTCATTTTACTCACAATATTCGGCCAATAAAGTGGAACCAATTCAGGTACAAAAATTTGTAGTTACTTTGTAAATAGATCGGTTTAGTTCAGTCAGTAATTTAAGTTTTGCAAGCATCCATTTTGTTAGTTTAGACCCAGATACAGTCTACAGCCCATCAACCTATCATTTTTTATTGCAAAACAGCTTATATTCCAACCCCATAAGATGCCCCAGTTTACCTTGATGCGCTGTCGTCTATCCCCATCAGAATTGCATGTAGCTGATATGCAGCGAGGGATTAAGTTTGACTGTACAACAAAGCAACAATGGTGACGTAATTAATCCCCTACCTCGTGTATGTAACGACAATATTCGTATCAGCATATATCTATGTATGGGTTGTTAGTGTTGACTTTGATCAGCTCATTATTTTTGGACTAGCGAACGTTATTATAATCCCCAATTTTTTCTTCACAGTACTAGGATATCTACGTCTTTCTGTAATAGGTACGAGTGTGTGGAAATTTTTAAGCTTCATTTTCTCCTTCATTGCTGTTGGAGTGAGTTAAATGAGCAGAGAAATAAGAGACGATAATTAAATACAATAACGATGACCGGTCCGATCTCTATGAGATTGTGGAATATGGTGCTCGCGAGCCAAATTCTGCTCGCGTTCGTTCGCAGACCCTCGCCGCTCCTTCGACCATCCATTTGACGTTTCCATCCGTCTTGCGGGGTTCAATTTCCGTGGCAATACAGAGGCCTCTCGCAAAACAGTTTGCGCTGTCGCTCTTATTGATGTCTAAATTCAAAATTTATTTTCAACTTTATTAGCCAAGTGGTTTTAGAGTTCGCGTGTTTGGCGAGGGATTGAATGAGTGAATGACCTTTCACTTTTGTGACTCTGACTTTATGTGAAAACTTTAAAACATTGTTTTTTTACAAATGAAAGCGCTCTCTCGTATTTTCATAAGCGTTTACTGAAAAAATTTCATTACAAAAATTCAATCAAGACAAAGGTTTTGGAAGGGCCATAACCACATAATTGAAGCTTTTATGTTGTGGTTAACTGGAATTAAAACCACTTAAGGTACCTAACTTGATTCTAAACATAATCGTAACCTTTATAAAAAGTGATATTGCTAAGGATTTCCATTCGATACAAAGTCATCTACTGTGTTATAAGTAAGCGACTTTGTCGAAGCGATTGCGACGGAATTTTCTACAGGCTTTTCTTCCGTCGTTAGCGATAGAATTTCTACATCAGACGTCTAGCTAGCTATAAGCTTCGTTCGTTGATCTCTATCGAGATCGATCGGCGGCTACCAACTAATAGCACTTAGCAACCTTTTAAATCAGGTCGTCCGTCAATTAAGTAGAACCTACGTGTTGCCTATTGCCACTTAGACCACTTATTTATCTTCTTTTCTCCTTAATAGTGCCTTTTAGTGCCTCTACTAAATAAAGTTCAGTGAGTTTCGTATAACATTCATGAAATGTGACGTCATGTTTAGATCATCTCTTTTGGCCGACACACGAAACCACTTTTTTATTTTCTTTATTTTATGGCTTGGTTCGGCTATATAAAAAAAAAACTTTATAACTGGCCTTCTCTGTTACTATTCTGCGTTGATAAAAAAGTCTTATGCCCGTTTTCACCATCAATCCCTAATTTTTAAGTGACCCCTATGAAAACAAAATTCCTGTTATGTGTTACCATAAAATTTATGTCACTTAAAAATTAGGGATTGATAAATCAATCATTTTAGGTCCGGCCATCGATATACATAGTAACATTTTCTTTGGAATATCGATGTATCGTTTGCAGCTCTACTTATGAGCTTAAAGCTTGTGTTTAATTTTCAATTTTTAAATATTTCACCCGCCTGTAATGAGCTTTTCCGCTGCGGCCTCACCTGAGTGATTAATGTTGAAATATTAAGCACTTTTTACCCTCGTATGGGAATTTTTACGAGAAATGTTAAAGCCAACATTGCTTCCTGTCGACTTTTTGTAACTGTAGTTTCAAATTATGGTGTAGGTTTATTTAGAAAATGTGATAAATGAATGAGTCATCTATCATCATGGTTAATGGTGACCTATCACATACAGTCCGTCCGGGAAAGTAGTGATCAAACTAAGAGCGTGATCAATGGATAATTATTTCGATAAAATACTTTAAACCAAGGATTTGGCCAATTTTATTTTTTTATCATAATTTTATTTTATAAAGTATGAAAACGGAACAAACGGGTCCCAATAACACTGTCTTCCGAGACATAATGTGTTTTAGGTTGTCACTTCCTATAAACAAACTCTCAATATTGCTGTGGTTTCTATAGAAAGATATTATTCAAAATGAAGTCACGTTTCTCATCAATTCCTCAATTATTTCTCAAATATCAATCGAGTGACTTCAGATGAAATGACAAGACATTACTTTATCCCTATTTTGCGGCGAAAGCTTTCACTTCCTGTAGACAATTTGACTTGTCTTTAGACTCGGGGCGAAATTGAATTGTTTCCGAATGTAATTAAGGCGTTAATGAAGACGTAGGCCGCATGATATCGGTAAAGTTAAGGACAATGTTATTAAACGTCAAAATATTTAAACACTAGCGGCCGCCCGCGACTTCGTACGCGTGGATCCCGTTTTACCCCCTTAGGAGTTGAATTTTGCAAAATCCCGTCTTAGTGAGCACCTGCGTTCTAAAAGGAACTTCCATGCAAAATTTGAGACTCCTAGCACTTGTAGTTTCCGAGTTTCATGATGAGTGAGTCAGTTAATCAGTGACCTTTCGCTACCTTTTATCATACTTATCAACAACTGACTGACCAATATCTCCGTTCAGCACAGCATGTCTCAGTACTACATAAAAGTATTTACTTTAAAAGTATGTACCTACTATTAATTTGTATAGATACCGCTCACAGACATGTCTACTAAGCACTAGTAATAAGTGCTCGTAAGCTCTACTTATCCTGCTTTACAAATGCTTTATTTGCAGCTCTTAGGTCCTCACAATCTTCTTACACCTAAGTGCTTCCATTTAAAAAATAAGGTCTTTATTTATCGTACTTTTCTGTGTCGGTGTTGTTATGAAAATGTAATGTGTTTGCGGCGACCGCGAGGCTTCGCATTTTCGGCGTAAGTGAATGTGGGCAGACTACGTAAACACGTTAGTATACGTTATAGGGTTTTGAGATAGCTTAGGTACACACGTAGGTATAAGTATATGGGTATTATCGAAGGCAGATCAGGACAAGGATTTAGCAAAACGTTTGTTATCCCGAACCTATAGTTATGGCTTTCTATAAGTCGTATGTTGCAGTAGTCGCACGTTGAGTATTTAGAAATGAAATAAAATATTAAATTATTGAACCAGCGAATAAAATGTAGACAAGCCTTGTACTTGGTAAACCGAAGACCTGATGAAAGCTCGCATCCAGTCGTTTCCATAAGGGAAGATTCCTGAATGCGGGCAGCGAGGGCTGGTCATTGCGGGAATCTTTGGCCTTTGTCCAGCAGTGTCTATCTATCTAGTCTATCTAAATATATATGTTACGGCTAAAGATAGTTGTGAACATAAACTTAAGATTAGCCGGCTAAACTTAAGTTTATCTTCGTGAAGCAGCTAAAGTTCGATAACATGTTAGTTTGCGTCGTGATATTCCATCTTTAGCCGGCTAATGTGCACATTAGCCAAAACGAAACGGCTAAAACTGTATTCGATGGGCGCGCCAGGCCGGCGGAGGGCTTGAGGGGACAGTGCGCAGTTTTATTTTGTTTTATTTTGTAATTTTAAATACCTACAGAAGATTCTGTAATGACCAAATGGTTTACCTTATTATTTTATTTTAATGATTAGGTCCTGCGCTGCCCGCATTGTGGAAAACCTTGGGGGAGGCCTTTGTCCAGCAGTGGACGTCATTTGGCTGAAAAGAAAGAAAGAAAAAAAGAAAAGAAAATGATTAGGTTGATATTGTTTTAAGTAATTAATATTTTGTTATTGTAATAATTGTAATTTTGAATACCTACATAGGTACATAAAAGTATGTGTAATGAAAGTGATTATTTT